AAGGAAGGAAGGAAGGAAGGAAGGAGAGGCGTCCATCTCTCTGACCGACTGCAGATGGTATTTATATGTCACTCCAAGGACACACTTAATGGTGGGCTGGCGACGTCATAAGTGTACCTCGACCTGTCATAACGATGTTGTGGTACCTCGACCTGTTATAACGATGTTGGTTGGGTACCTCGACCTGTTATAACGATTGGTTGGTGTCACCTCGACCTGTTATAACGATGTTGGCTGGTGTACCTCGACCTGTTATAACGATGTTGGTTGGTGTACCTCGACCTGTTATAACGATGTTGGTTGGTGTACCTCGACCTGTTATAACGATGTTGGTTGGTGTACCTCGACCTGTTATAACGATGTTGGCTGGTGTACCTCGACCTGTTATAACGATGTTGGTTGGTGTACCTCGACCTGTTATAACGATGTTGGCTGGTGTACCTCGACCTGTTATAACGATGTTGGCTGGGTGTACTCGACCTGTTATAACGATGTTGGCTGGTTTCCGACCTGTTATAACGATGTTGGCTGGTGTACCTCGACCTGTTATAATGATGTTGGTTGGTGTACCTCGACCTGCATGGAACTACCAAGGTGTGATGCAGCCGTGAATGTTGTTTTTTTTTTGCAATGTGAAGAATGTTTATATAGTGTGAATGTGATGTTTGGCTTCACCTGTATATCAAACACCTCAACATCTTCCCACATAAACACACATTCACACCGACATCTCACCTGTCAAGTCAACATTCGTCACACCTGTCAACATTCTCACCACAATATTACGATAAGCATTTCCAACACCTCACCTGTTAATTAACGAGCCCAACACCTGATTAAGATAAACATCAACAACAACTTACCTGTTTAAATCATATATAAATATTCTCAACACTTAATTAGGCGACGAATACTTGTTAATACACACACACACACACACACACACACACCTCTCACCTGTTGGGCCAAATTCTTCACACATTTTAAAGCAAGAAGCTACACATAAGTCCTGGCAGCTGTGACGACTTCAACAACAACAAATAAAAAACAATAACAACAAATAAAAAACAATAACAACAACCAACAAGTCTTCCAACAACCAACAAGTCTTCCTCACTTCTGGCAGACGGACACACACAGGAAGTAAATTTTTCCAACAAGGACTCTCTCTCTCTCTCTCTCTCTCTCTCTCTCAACTTGTTATGGATTCCAAAAACACCTTTACTGTGAGCTGGTGTGTGTGTGTGTGTGTGTACATGGTGACAGAGACAGACACACACAAGCCACCTCTAAATTGGCACCCTAAAGTGATTCAAGCGAGGCTACATCCCGACCACTCAACAAGCTGTCAAGTGGTGGTGAAGGGCAGCGTGTAGTTAGCTCGTCAACAAGGGCTTACTAAACAGTGCCGTCAGGGTCTTACCAGGCGTTAAAGGGGTCATTAACACACACACGACATGTAATATAAAATTCTTCAATCAATTGTATAAAAAAAATCAACCTAACGAAATTTATCTTTTTATTATTATTAAAGTTGTATTATAAAAGACTATGTTACAGCCGTAGTTCTTATCTACGATGTCTCAATGAATAAGACTGACAGGTGAGGTGAGGTTAGGTTAGGTTCGGTGCTTATAACACATTAAACACCTGTCTGTAGCATTAAAAACCTCAGTATTTATTCTCTTTAATTCTTCAGATCATTCCTAAGATAAACAATAATTTAATAAACGGTGAATGAAAGAATTAACTTTGCTCTTAAAATGGCAGTCGGCGGTGAAACATTTGGTACCTGCAGTTCTGAGAAGGTCAATAAATCACGTTTTTCCTTCTAATTACTGAAATACATTTTAAAACAATCGATACAATTTGAAACATATATAAAAAAATTATAATTATTTGCTAATATTTTATACAATTTACATACTAAAATAAAATAGTGTTTTAAATAATTGCAACTACTTCTCATTCTTGTTTTTTCTTCACTAATAATAAATGGACTCTCTCTCTCTCTCTCTCCTCTCTCTCTCTCTCTCTCTCTCTCTCTCACCTCATCCCTCGCCCAACACGACCACCACTTCCCTCACCCCATACCTCATAACTCCACACATCCTCATAAATACCCCTCCCCTCCCCTTAGGCCACCAGTAGGTATGTCTCTCTCTCTTTCTCACTCCTATTTCTTTTCCTCCTCGTGTCTTCCTCATTCACCTCACACAGTTTTATTATTTCTCACCACTACCACCACTACCACCCACCCCGACCAACTACCACCATCTGTTACAACCACCACCACCGCCACCACTTTCACACAAGGCTCAGGTGTTCTGCTTGCCTCTAACACCTGACAGTACAGAAACACCTGGGTGAGTTTTGCGGAGGATATACGTCAGTCACCTTTACCTTCAGCCTGACAGCCGCTGTTTAATATGACAGCTTCTGTTCATATTTATTACTTGATGTTAATGTTGAAAAGGTGTATAGCATTTAACCCCTTTCAAGACGATGATTTAACCCCTTCACTAAAATAGATTTATTCATTATATTACAAACATTCATTCATCATAATTAACGCTCATTCATTGTACCTCGCTTACGGTGTTCCTCTTCTCTCTCTCTCTCTCTCTCTCTCTCTCTCTCTCTCTCTCCTCCTCCTCCTCCTCCTGCCTTACCTTCCTCTTCTAATATCTAAATATGGCTTCCTTCCTTGTGGCCCCAAATACCAAGATACCAAACACATTTACTACACATTCTTCTCCTCCTCCTCCTCCTCCTCCGATGGATGGTGTGTTGGCTCTGTTCATGGTGAGAAGTGAGGGGAGGAGGAAGTGAGAGAACACGTGGAGGTGGAACTTTCGTCTTGTTGTCATTTGCGGAAACACACACATATATATATACACGCACGCAGATACACACACACACACACACACACATATATACACGCACGCAGATACACACGCACACACACTCGACTAAACAACATTTCCCACCTCCCATCTCTCAGGTTAGCAGGTTCAACCAATCACAGTCCACCGTTCAACCAATCAGAGGCCGTCGTTCCATCAGTCTACATACACCTGTTGCCAATACACACAACAGGGAACTAGTTTATTCCCTTTAAATATCCCAAATTTCCCATTTACTATCGCAAAGTCTCCCTTAAACGTAATCACTACCACCCTTAAATCAATTAACTCCCTTTGATGTATTAACTATGAGACTTTAAGTGTAGTGAACTGTTCAGAGAGCCATCGTTAAACACCTGCATTGGCCCTACAGGTATATGACTCAGGTAAGGTAATTAAAAAAAATTGGTTATGACACGCACACACACACACATACACACACACACACACACACACACACACACACACACACACACACACACACACACACACCTTTTCATTCTCTAAAACGATCCCTTACGTAAGCACAAACTTGTCCTGGCTCGACCAACTGCCGCTCACCTGTACGTCTGTTTGTCTGTCTGTTGGCAAGAGACTCGTGGAGGCTGACAGCGGCATATACATGGAGGCCAACATAGTCAATACACACGTGGAGGCCAACACAGTCAATACACACGTGGAGGCCAACACAGTCAATACACACGTGGAGGCCAACACAGTCAATACACACGTGGAGGCCAACACAGTCAATACACACGTGGAGGCCAACCTAACCAACACACGTGGAGGCCAACAGTCAATACAAAATGTGGAGGCTAACACAGTCAATACACACGTGGAGGCCAACACAGCCATACACACTGAGGCCAACACACAATACACACGTGGAGGCCAACCTAACCAACACAAACGTGGAGGCCAACACAGTCAATACACACGGAGGGCACAACACAGTACTACACACGTGGAGGCCAACACAGTCAATACACACGTGGAGGCCAACACAGTCAATACACACGTGGAGGCCAACCTAACCAACACACTAGACCACATAAAAATAAACACTGCCTCTTTCCTCGCCCAGACCAGACTCTCACTCCTAACTTAAATCCTCTTCCTCATCTTCCTGCTCCTCCAGCTGCTGCTCCTCCTCCTGCTGCTCCTCCTCCTCCTGCTGCTCCTCCTCCTCAGACCTCGAGAGACGTGACACCGCACATAACTACACCTCAATCCACCTCTACGACACACACATATATATATAAGGCTTAAATATGGCATCAAACCTATATAGAGACTCCTTAGATACAAGTTTCTCTCTCTCTCTCTCTCTCTCTCTCTCTCTCTCTCTCTCTCTCTCTCTCTCTCTCTCTCTCTCTCTCTACGCCCATCACTGGTAGAATTGATTTAGAGTTTGTGTGTGTGTCTGTCAGTGGTCTGTCTCTGTCAGTAAGGGTGGCATAAGTTCTTCAATGGGGTGGTCGTGGTTTTGTACAGTAAGGATGTAAAATGTTGGCCAATCAATTCGTCATAAGGTGTCTTGACGGGAAAGGTGGAGGGAGGGAGAGTGTCTTGAGGGAGGGAAGTGTCTTGAAGGAGAGGGACAGAGGGAGGGAAAAGGGGAAGGAAGGGTGTCTTGGGAGAAAAAGGGGGGGGGGGGAGGGCGCTTGTGCTTGCCTGCCTGCCCGTCCTCATGTGTAACTGAGACACGACACTGCCAAACACTCACTCCCTCACCACCATCAGGTCGACCACGCCCCCTTCCTACCTGTACGGTCGTCCTTCAAGAGGTACCTTACAGTGTCTACCTTCCTTAATATAACCTTACACACGAGTCACTCACATAATGAAGTAGTCTATATATTATGTTTTAATCATCAAGGTCCCTCAAAAGGTTGTTTAATACATTACGTAATAAAAAAAATCAGTCGTGAAAAGGCAGAACAAGTCTGGGTGAGGTGAGGTAAGGTTGTTAGGAGGCATCACGGTGTAACCCTGACGAGGGTACTGGAGTAAGCCTAACGCAGCCACGTCAAGGGGACTAGAGACTGAACATAGGTAAGCCACACAGGTGAGGACACATCACGGTGTACTAACCCAGGTGGCGTGGCTCTTATATACCTTTGGCAGTGTGGTGGAGCACCCAAGTGGAGGGGGCGTCGCTGGCGCCCTGTGGGGGGAGGAGGGTTGCGACACGCACGCCCCCCGGTGGTGACTTCCGTCACGCCCGTAGCTGCCCCCTCCCCCCGTGGGCGGCCAGGTGAGGGGCGTCCCACTGCCTTCTGAGTCCGGCGTCTTAGTGGTGACCCAGCGGGAGTGGTAGTCCTCTGGCTCCTGCACCCAGAACCCCTTACTGTGGGGCGCCCTGGGGCTGGCCGACGACCCTCGCTGAGATCCTCCCGGGGACACGCTATTGGTGTACCCGTTGCCGTTGCTGGTGAGGCTGGGCACGCTGCTGTTGCTCCGTCGACGATTTCGGAGATTGTTGGAGATGTTGGCGTTGGCCAGATTACTGGTGGAGCCTCCACCAGTGTTCTCCCTCACCCAGCCTCCGTTGGGGTCACGCGACCAACCCTTCCTTTTGTCCTCCATCTCTCTGCCCCAAGTCTTGTTGTTCACTCCTCCAACACTACTACTCATCTCCCCACCATTCCCTCCCCCGCCCCCCCTGTTCCTGCCGCTCCAGTGAGGCAACATCAACACAAGCATCTGCAGGTCACAAACATGTAAACAAACTTGAGTTTCTGTTTGTTTCTGGCCACAACAAGAGCTTTATATTTTCATACTTCACATGGCCTCTCCTGCCGCCTCCAGGTACCTCCCCCGGAGGAGGAGCCCTGAGCTTCACCTAGTGTGCTAGGTTGTGCGGCTGCCTGAATAAGGTAATGGTAAGTAACCCATCTTACGGGGTGGCAGGAAGGCTTGGCTCCACGCTCACTGGTCCACACTTTGCTGTAAGCCATCAACTATTTCATTCCTCGATAACTGCACTGGTCGTGGTAATCCTGTAATGTTCACGTGGAGGAAAGTTCCCTCGGTAGTGTCGTGACGGAGGCGAGGCAGTGGGCCCGGCAGTGACGGTGGTAAGGGGATAGTGTACCGCTTGGTAAGGCAAGTTCCTCACAACAGGTGAATCAAGGCCCTCCCAACCCTCCGCCGCCAACAACCAAACTCAACTGGGGTGGCTGCGGCCGCCTGCCCGACCCAGACACCCTGCCAACTCCCTCTCCCAGTCACACCCGCTCCCTCCTCCCCTGCACCATCTCGACCAAACCTCTCCACAACTTTACAACCATAACCCGCACCGCCACAACAAGGAGGAGGCCACACGTCCCATAGATCAAGGCCTTTAAGAGGTTATAATTGTGATGTGTAGCGACGTGTGGCAGGCGTGTAAACCCCCTAAGGTACGACCCAGAACAGGCGGCTCAGGGGTGACTGAAGGAAACCCTCTGTTCCACTCCCCAGTGTCGCACCCCGAGTCATTAAACTCCTGATTCCCAATTATCCGCCCTACAACTTCCCGCTGTGTGTGTGTGTGTGTGTGTGTGTGTGTGTGTGTGTGTGTGTGTGTGTGTGCTAGCAGAATCTCGAACATTCCCGCCCTCACTCGCTGCTACGTCACACTTGAGGTAGAGAAAATTGGTACAAGTTCCAATCCCATTTTCTCTAGCGAGGTGGAAATACCAAGACTGTAATACTGTGAAAACTGAAGCGACTCTTGTGACCACCACGAGGAGTGACAAGCGTGCCTTTTGAGAGAGAGAGAGAGAGAGAGAGAGAGAGAGAGAGAGAGAGAGAGAGAGAGAGAGAGAGAGAGAGAGAGAGAGAGAGAGAGAGAGACCTTACTTCATATCTGATTTTCCCTTAATCACTAATAAAGGTCATGATTCTTATCCTTCACCGATCACTGAACTTTTAAGTGTTAAGTGAGAAAAATATCGTGTGTGTGTGTGTGTGTGTGTGTGTGTGATTGCGTGAGAGGTCTGGAGTGGTAAAAATTGAACCCTTTTAAGAAGCTGGTCAAGGTCGCACACAGCTGAGTGAAACGAACATAACAGACCAATGTGTCCAGCCCGGTTCCTGCCCTCCCCCAGCCCGGTCCAGCCCGCCCCTGCCCTCTCCCTAGCGCCCCCTGTGTATAAAAACAAGTCCACTCAGTAAAGTCCCATTTCACCCATCTTATCCCACCTTATCTGATCTCCTCCAAAGGTGTCAGACGATCAGAGACAAAGAAATACAAGGAAATCAGATCACTACCAAACAACCAATTACTCCCAGACAGCATACTAGTTACAACAGCCCAACTACAAATATTTGAAGAAAAAATACAATATATACAAAAATATTCCTCTACTTGTGTATGAACTTTATAAAACCCAAATGTTCTTGATACACGAGAGAGAAAGATTTGACATATATTAAACCTATAATATCGTAGTGAAATGTGAATAAATTAGATGCAAAAATAAAAATCACTTCCTGATATCATGTTCTTGTCCAGGTAAACAAACACACAAGGGGAGGGTAGGTAAGATAGGGGAGGGGGGGAGAGGGGAGGGGGGGGTCACATGTTCATACAGGTGTGACAAAAATGACCTTCTGTCATATTTAATGCAATAATCATGTCACTTTCTCACTTTGGCACATGACGTTGCACTTTAACATTGTCCACATAAATCCCCGAGTCACTGTATTAATGTTAAAGGTTCACCACGCGGCTACATCAATAACAACTCCACTGGCCGGTTGACCCCCCGTGTGTGTGTGTGTGTGTGAGAGAGAGAGAGAGAGAGAGAGAGAGAGAGGGTACAACCATGACCAAAACACACAAAAATGAAACAACCCTGGATAATCACCTCATCACCTCAGATAATAATAGTTGTCTTATCTACCATCATCTGCTTCTGTTACGAATGAATGCCACGAGGTTGTAAAGAAACAAACACTCGGATTAGTCTTCTTTTTCTTCTTATATACAGTACTCTCTCTCTCGCTCTCTCTCTCTCTCGCTCTCTCTCTCTCTCTCTCCCCTGGGAAATACTACGGCATCGTCCGACACACCTGACTCGAGAGAAAAGACTCCACTGTTGGATGAGTCACACACACACACAGGCAGGAGTCTCACCATAGAGCAGTGTGTGCAGTGAGTGGAAGGTCCCGTAACAAAATGATTAAATATCCAAGTGTTGTTGTATATGATGTGGTTGTAGTCAAAGGTTGTTGAATTTAAGGGCTGTTGTATTTAAGGGCTGTTGTATTTAAGGGCTGTTGTTTTAAGGGATGTTGTATTTAAAGGATGTTGTATTTAAGGGCTGTTGTACTCAAAGGCTGTTGTATTCAAAGGCTGTTATTTTCAGTGTTGTATTCCAAGCTGTTGTATTTAAGGGATGTTGTATCTACGCCTGTTGTATTGAGAGGAGGGAGCATCAGGTGGTAGAGCAGACCACCACCGCCCTGTGTGAGCCACCTGCAGTAAACAAGGGAGGGGTCTATTACCTGATGGTGGCCGAGCAAGGCTACTGACGAAGACAACAATAGGTCGTAGAGGTTCTGTTGACGGTAGTTATGGTTGTGTATGTTGAGGGAGGGAGAGAGGGGGAGGGGAGAGAGGGGAGTGGGGAAAAGGTAATCTTGAGAAATAAAAAAGGAGGAAAACACAGGAAAAAGAGAGGGAGAAAAAGAAACAGAAGAGAAAAGAAAGAGAGAGAGAGATAGAGATAGTGTTTGAGCGGTAACTTTACCTGTGTGTGTGTGTGAGATTTACCGGAGAGTAATTAATGAAACTCGACACCTGAGAGCGACTCCACCCGACCCTAACCTTCACCACGCTAGCTTGTTTGTTTGCTTTCTGGGGCGGACACACACACACACACACACACACACACACACACACACACACACCACTAGCCTCGTACGATGGGTGAGTGAGAGGCGCTACCACAACTACCACACAATACTCACTACTCTCAAAGACACAATCCCAATCTGCTCAGTGGTTAACCGGTAGTCTCTCTAACGTTTGAGTTTTATATTAAGTAATTCAACCAAACAAAAACAAAACAGACAATAACAAAAGAAATAACAACACCGACCCCCCCCACACGTATAAAGAGCCTCACGTGGCATAGGTCGAGACAATACCTCTCAACTCAGCATAGAGAGTATCACGACCTTAACAGCAACACGGACACAAGGGCGAACAATAATCCTAATCAGGTCTCCTCCCATACAGGGGGTGGGGGTGAGGGAGGGGTGGGGGTGGGGGTGGGGGTGAGGGAGGGGGGGGTAGGGGTGAGGGAGGGGTAAGGATGAGGAGGCAGTCTCCAGGATGGTTAAGGACATCTATAGGCGACCCACAACAGCGCGTGCCAGAGTGGGGGTAAGGAGGGGGTAGGGGGGCGACGGGGAGGGTAGAAGGAAGGAGCTACACACACACACACACACACACACACACCTTACCTACCTCCCTACCAAAATTCACCCTTACTACCCGACCTACCACTACTCACCCTACCACTTAGATACGTTCACTTAGTTACGCTCACTTAGTTACGTTCACTTAGCATTAGTACAGGAACGAAATTTAATGAATAGCACCATTTTTGTTTATCCGGGGGAGACTCCTGGACAAGCATGGACAACCCAGGGTCACCTCCACTGCAGAATCCACGCGTATACGGGCATGGGGTGCTTCGATTGGTCTCTGCTCTGTCATGGTGGGAGGTGATTGGCCCCCCCCTCCCCCCCTCCTCACACCTGTTTCATCTAACCTCCATCTACCTTTCCTACCCTAACTTGAGCTGCACGTGTTCAGTGAGAGACGCTAAAATTTTACACAGTCGCTAGGATTGTCAGGGACCATCAACAATAACCATGATTGGATAACTCACTATGCTTCAATCACCGTCACACCAGCACACACCTTGAATACATCGTCAAGGTCAAGAATCAAGAATAAAACACGTATTAACTGTCAAAAAAAGAACACGTCAAGGTCACGATAATAACACACTGTTTACACTCAGGCTGAAGATAAGTCCCTCAAAGCTGTTTCTGACACACACACACTTACAGTACACACACACACACACACTTAAGAAATGAAGATTCCTCATAAAAATTGAAAAAAAATTTATAAGCAAACACGTGGTTCCCAAGGATACCATCACCTGTAAACATTACCTGTGTGTTTACTACGTGTCCAGGTAAACGATCCCGGAGAGGGTGTGTGTGTGTGTGTGTGTGTGTGTGTGTGTGTGTGTGTGGAGAGAAGAGGTTAGGCATCAAAGGTTGGCTCAGCGAACAAAGGACACACACACACACACACACTATTACAAGATGTCCCTCATCATACCACCATACAACACTACACTATTACACCATACCCCTCACCACACCCCACAAATCAACACGACTCTGTAACACCATTCTCACACCTTCGTCAACAGCAAAGACAGCAGTGTGCACGTGGGGGGTGGGGGGGGGTCACTGGCCCAACAGGAGGCCAGTGACGATGCGCTTCACTTGGCGAGCAGCGAGTGATGGTCCGGGGCCTGTTATGGCGAGAACCTGCACCCTGCCACTACCACAGTCTCCACCCTACCACCACCACAGACTACACCCTACCACCACCACAGACTACA